ACGTCGAGTGAAGCATCCACGTTCTTGAGAATGCTTATAGGTGCGACTGCAGTTCAGCCGGCCGATTCGATGCCTGTCGTGTCTTCGCATTCGGCCAAAGCAACTTTGTTGTCGTGGGCTGCAAAGTATGGTCTATCAGAGCAGACTCGATCAATCCTTGGAAGGCATGCTAGTGCCACAACTGGCACATACGCCTTTTACTCTAGGGATTTGTGTGTGGCCCCGACCCGCGAATTGCAGGAAGTCATTGACGAGATCTTCAAAGGGAACTTCAATCCGGATGCTCCCCGCAGCGCCTATTTCACCAGGAGGGATCCGGTGCTTGAGCCAGAGAGCGGAGGTCCCGTTGTGCCTGTGCTTGAGGGTCGCTTGAACACTAAGGCGGAGACTGTTGAGTCAGACGGAGGTTGCGACGAGGGTTGTGGGGGAGCCTGAGCTAATAGTCATTGATGATGACTCCAGCTCAGAGAGTTCATCCAGTGATGCAGGTTCTTCAGCAGATTCCTCGTGTTGCGAGGAGCCACCCATGAAGGTGAAGAGGTTCCGACCGAAGGTGCCGCGGGACGAGACATGGTATGCCCACAGGAAATCTCATATCCTCCACCTCTTCACTGAGAATGCAGATGGCTTCACCTATCGTTACTTGGCACGCGGGAAACGATTGACAGAGGCATATTCTTTGTCCACCGAAGCAACTGCTTGGAACGTGATGTGCAAAATGTGCTTGAAGAGGAAGCCTTCATGACCGGCCTATGCAGGCCTTATGAACCGATGTGGATGTGTTAAAAAAGAGGTCGCCCATGCGTGGCAGTGCAGTGAAGCTGTGTTGTGATGAGATTAAGCCGGTGTAGGCTTTCGGTGTAGCAGTGAGAGAGTTGACTATAGGGGCATGCGACTCCCAAATTTCCTAGAGAGTCGGCCATGCGTGCTGAGGCTCAAGAGATGTGTGTGTGTGTAGTGGTGTTCATGTCATGATTATGACTTGAACTAGTCCCTCACATGAACCCATGAACTTCTTCCGAAAACCTGACGGCAACAGTCCTAAGAATTCAATGGCCCAGGCTCAGTGGCCATCGAATTGTTTATGCCTCCACAAACGTGAATAAAAAACAATAGTTGGGAAGCAAACTCTTCATTGCTTCACTGTCAGTTGAATTCTTTCCAGGACTAGTGCTCTGACTTTTCCCATAGGACTGTGATTTTGATGGCTCTTCTCCTCGATAGCGAAGCTCAGTTTGACCTCAGAATCGCTGAATGCAAAATTCCTGATAACCTCCGTGATGCATTGAAAGGAAATGGCATCACGTCCTTGGCGACCTTGGCATATAGCTTCGGGCATCCTGGCCAGGCGATTGATCATGAAGCCTTTGCTACATGGGCCCGGACACTTGAGCCAAGGGCTTCTCTGGGAGGCGTGGCAAATTTGAGAAGATTGGTCTTTGAGAGTCAGACTCAACTTCTCGCTATCCTACGAGATCAGGTTACGGCGCCGGAGACGACCGCACGAAAGATCCCACAAGCAGAGAGAGAGAGTCGCGCATGAACTTGTTGCAGCAGCGCTTGGCAGGAGTCTTGATCAGCGGTCAGATGGAGCCCGGGCACACATTGTTGGACTCCGTGATGAGTATGGTTGATAAGAATCAATTGAAGTACTTGCCTCCTGAGCGTTGTGTGTCAAGGGTTCATGAACTCACGAACTTGAAGGCCCCTGACCGTATGCTTGACATCGAGGCGAACAAGATCATCATCAAAGACAAGGACGAGAAGATTGAGGCGCCGGCTCACACTTCTTTGCAGGTCTTAGAGGCCTTGAAGCGTAGGGGCATCGCTTTGGAGTTTGGTGATTGCATGGGATTTTTGGAGCATGACAAATATGTGCAACACTCTTTGCTCATCTGCACCGAGAGCCGCCTCCTGGTTACCAACGGTGCACAGTCTCCCAATTGGTGAACGCAGACAAGGAGGCATGGAGGAGGTTGATTGAGTTGAACGTAAAGCCAAAGAGAGATGCCACTGGGACGAGACCATTAGACCAGCAGTTGATGGCAGCTCTCACTTCGTATGAAGTTTCGTTCTCTTTGATCCCATTGCCATTGAAGTTCAAGCCGGAACCCAAAGAGCGTGCTTCGAGTCATGACAAGCCTGGTGGAGGTAAGAGCCACGACCAGAAAGGAGGTAGCAAGGGAAAGTGGCAACATCGTCCGAAAGGCCATTGGTTCAGTCCGTATCAGAAGGGGAAAGGCAAGTCGAAATGGGAACCCCGGATTCCCGCTCAGATT